CTGCTTAAAAGGTACAGATCTTTCCTAGCAAATTGGATTTTAATTCTTTTTTTCTTCCTGGAGAGGTTGAAGAGAGTGGAATGCAACATAAGCATTCCAATTATGAAATCACAATGTAAAAACCCAATCAGTAATCATTAGGTGTTTAAAGAGCAGTTATTGCTCATACAATAAACCAGCGTCACACTGCCTCTTCTGGTTTGCTTAAAAGGTACAGATCTTTCCTAGCAAATTGGATTTTAATTCTTTTTTTCTTCCTGGAGAGGTTGAAGAGAGTGGAATGCAACATAAGCATTCCAATTATGAAATCACAATGTAAAAACCCAATCAGTAATCATTAGGTGTTTAAAGAGCAGTTATTGCTCATACAATAAACCAGCGTCACACTGCCTCTTCTGGTTTGCACCATTTACCAGTATAAAAACAATATATTAACAGTGCACCTACAACACATACATGCTTTTTAACAGAGTGGTCCACCCACATTTGGGGCAGACGCTTTATAAAGGATAAACAGCATTTTTCCCCAGCTGAAAAAAAGTACAGTCCAAAGATGACTGCATTATGGGAAGGTAGATGCCTACAAAGCTGCCGAACTTGGACTGATAGGCAAAGATCCACTTAATATGCAATACAAAGGCACTAACAAAGAGAACATTATTAGCATTTCAGTGTGAAAGCTTTCCTCCTCCTTTCACTTTACAGTAAGGATCAAACTCTATTGTGAAAGCTCTGGATTTTCTAATAAGGAACATTTTCTTAGAAGAAAGGCTCCTTGGTTTAAACGGTGCGGTGAAACTAGAGATAAAAAGCATCTTTATTCTTTGCAACCAGCATATCTGACCAGTAACTAGAGGTCAATTCTTTATTATGCACTATAGTACATACTATAAATGCACTTACATGTGTTTCTAAAAGTACCTTGCATAGAAACACATTCAAGCTGTGTATCTATGAATTCAGAGATCAATGTACTTCATTATATCGTTCTATCATTTAAATTCTTAATATTAAGCTATGAATTAGATTTCATTCCCACCTCAACCGCAGGGAAGCTATTGTTGAGAATATGCTTTGGAATTGAGGAAATTGTCTTCAATATTTCCTTGGAAAAACAAGTTTAATTACCACAGCTAAAATGACAGTATTAGAGCAAAACCTTATCTTAATACATATAGCAATCAAAACAACAGAGTTCTCTACAACTTTAGTATCAAAGGGCTTTGGTTGGGATTTGTACATGCAAGTCTCCCCTATTCCATCTTACCCAGTAAGGGTGAAAACAGCTTCATAAAGACCGCTAAGGATACAGACTAGGACTTAGTGCCCTTCCCTTACATATGGAAATCACTTCTGTAGTGCCCATGAATGGGCACCACAGAAATACCACAAAAACGTGGCAAAAATACTACTTCTTCCCATGCTGTCACGTAGAAAGCCTTCCCATTTTATTTTTCATTCTTCAACCTCCTGCTGGGATCTCTTTTTTCATGTAGAAGCAGTAGGGCAGACATTTTGGACTTTGACTGACAGCTTTGATTGACAGGACTTTATTTACTTGCAGGCAGAGCTGTAACACTTAATGTAACGTATCTGTTGTGGGATGGTTAAAAAAAAAGGCAGGGAGAGAAAATTTATTAATTCTGACCTCAAGCTTAAATTAATATTGTGATATGCTGGAAAGCCCACAGAAAGCTCTTCAGCCTACTCATAACAACCAACAGCATTTTCCAAATATTTTAAACCAAGACTAATGCAAAGAAAAGGCGAACGTTACATCAACACCATCCTGTGGTTTATGTAACAATACATCCAATTTTTCTTTCCACTATTTTTAATTGGTGAATTACGTGTGGAAGTCTGTACTGGTGAACATATTACCTGTCAAGATCTGTGTGTCAGTCTTATCTTCCATATGTTTCATGTTATCTGTGTTCAAACAGCACTGCTGCTCTGTTTTCCTGACTGAGAACCACCTCTGCAACTACTCTAAACTCTGCCAACCCCTGTCAGAAACCTGTGGAAGTTGATTTCAGGACTCCTGAAGGTCTATCATTTGCAGGTTACAGCACAGCCAGTTCCAGTGAAAAGCCATTTGATCCTTCATCTTGATGGAGTGAAAACATACTTGCCCCACAATTTTACACGTGATTGAATTAACATTTTATCTATTTCAGTACTCAGTAAAACAGGTACTCCAAGGCAAGCTTATTCTCACAAGATTATCCTGAAGAAATGTGTTGGTAACATCTTTTCAGACTCATTGGAAGACCAGTTGGAAGGGATCTCTCTGAAGGACATCCAGTCCAACCTACCCCTTAAAGGGGAGCTATTCGCAATGCTAGATTAGGGCTGACCTGGGAACCTCCCTGGGTGAAGATTCCACATCTCTCTGGCTGACGTGCTCCACTGCTGCACCCCCATCCTGGGGAAGAAGTTTCTCTTAATGTGCAACCTAAAGCTCACAAATATCTTGATGTAATTTGAAGTGACTTCTAAAATCACACTTTTCCTATGTGAGATTTTCAGCACAACTCTACCCTTGAGCAAACACTAAGCATGAATGTATCAGAGTTACATACAAGTGTAACACACACCGTAATTACGTATTTCCAATACTACAGCTATATCAGCATATATCATGTAGACCAAGTTTCCTTTCAAATCTACCCAACTAGTTCAAATAGCTTTGGAACACAACAAATAGTTTTCAATTTTAAGCAGCTTTAAGATAAAAAGAAATTCAGGCTTTTATCCTACCATCTACATTTGGTCTCTCTCAGCTTCTGCAGCTTCTACAGCTAGTTTAGCTTTTTCCTCATACAGCACCTTTTTTGGCTTTGAAGAACAGGCACATCTGTTAACACTTCTGAAGACTCAGAAATGATATAACTCGATCACTGCTTTGTTATGCAGGTGACAGCATCTGAAAGCAATAAAGATCTTTCTAGCTGCAGCAATGACATAAGCAGTGGATGGGCGAGGGGAAAGCAAGGGGTGGGGAGAGAATGAAAAGCAGCAAGAAAAGTTTGCCAGTACAAACACCACCTTTGTTTATGCAAGTTTTAATCGCTCCCAAGATAATATTGTTCTGCAAAATATGTGTTTTGTCAAGATCAAAGTCCTTGCACTCTATGCAAATCTGCATAGTAGTTCAGTATTGAGCTCCCATAAGCAAATAAAGCCTTTGTGAGAAATGCATACCATCCCCATAGTTAAGAGATCACCCTTACTTTTTTTTCAAAACAGTAGCAAAGAGGCTGAGGTCTGAAGACCTTCAGAAACACAAGAGGAGGAAAAAAATTCACATTGGACATGAAAATTCTGTGGTTTATGTAAGGTAAATGCATTGTTAGTTAGTATTTCTGTTGTTATTGGAAGAAGCAGCAAAGACATGCTCTCTCATATCCTCTTTGCAATTTTGGATAGCACCTTCTGTACTTCAGAGTGAAATCCTATTCACTCGTCTTTACTTACAAGGCTGCATTACCTCCCATTGATGGTACGAGACCCATTAATGAAAATCCACCCAGAGTAGT